TCCATTCGCGAACCGAACTCAATTAATGACCACGCGCATATTCCAGACATTTACAAAATGCTAAATTAATCCCAGGCGAGTTCCTCACATTCTTATAAACATCTCATTTACATTTAGACGCCGTTAACATTCATTTCATCACTGAAGAAGGTTATAGTATTTTAGCCGAAACGTCTATTTTAAGATTTTTAAGCCAGTGACAACAACTTTTAAGATTTTATCACTATGCCTGACTACAACTACAGTATTTTTAAACTTGAATTTTCTATATGGTAAATTTAGAACCAATGCGTAAGAGAGCTATAGAACTACCAAACAACTGATAATTTCATCATCTCCCAACGGAAACCGAATCAGATTGAATTTCCCCCGAATGCTTTTTATCAACCATTATGCGAAAAATAAAAGTTTTCAATAAAACTGCGATGAAATTCAGAATACGTTAGATATTACTAATTTTTTTAAAGTAAAGACAGAGATAGTTTGGTTTCAACTGCATGTTTTTATTCATCTCAGTCATAGAAGCACATACAGTTATCATGAACGACACAATCTACCCTCTCTCCTCGTCCTCTACTGGGGACCCTTCGGAGGAGTTGCTGGCGGTGGGGGTGGGGGTGGGGGTGCCTTTGTCGTTGATGGGGGGGGGGGTGGCGGTGCTTTTGTCGTTGGTAGTGGCGGAGGTGGCGCTGCTGTTGATATAAATCAAAATAGTTCGAGAAAAGTTATCTTAAATAAACTGTGTACATCAAAAAAGACCAACATAATAGACAGCTGTATTATAAAAAGGAAGCTCAAATGCTTACTTCCGGTTGCTGTAGCATGAAGCTATTTGTTAAAATTCACTTACGTTTTTGATTGACTTTGTAAACATACAGAGCCAGTGGGCCTCCAACGCATTTCCTGGGACCATTGAACTTTTCATTGCAAGCTTCAAAAGTGCACTCATCTTCTTTGATCATTTTACAATTTTCCGACTGGCCGTGGGCTTTATAACCTTTATTCATTCCAGCCCAGCACTCCCCATAGTACTCGATTCCAAAATAGTCATAGTGGAGTTGCTTTGCTCTCTCTGCACATGCGCATGTAAACCTAAATGACCGGACGAAAACAACAGCATCGTTAGAGTTGTCCCTTGCCTACGTTTCAAGTTAGTTATCTCGTTTCAACAAATTTAATTTATGTCTCCTTTCCCAGATGCAATTAAATACAACTTAATGAAAAAACTATATTCAATTATTTGGTCAACAGCCGAGCTTTGTTTGCAAAGAGCGCCCCCCAAAAATGTAATCCAGATCCAGAGTTGGGATAAATTTTGGCCACNATTTAACGGAATTCAAAAATTTTTTCGCAGAACTATTTCAAATAATAAGTAGATTCGTTCTAGCGAAAAAAAATTTTGGGGGTTAGGTGCACTTTAAGCGACTGTCAGTGTTTGCTTACAACGATGCCAACAACGACACAGCATCAACAGTCGCTTTAAGTATGTTTAAAAAACGAGCAGCAGTGTTTTATCGGATTTGAAACACGAGGAGAAGCCGGGTGTTTTAAACCCGATAAAACACATGCTGCGAGTTTTTTGAACAGCTTCAAAAACGCGAGCTGAAAAAGGCATTGCGCGACACATTGTAATTGACGCGAGCAGAGTGGTCTAGACTCTTATCGACAACGGCAAATTAGCCAATCAGATTGCGAGATTAGCAGCAATCGTGGTAAAATAATTATTTGACCCGCAACAGTAATCAGTAAGGGAACCTATATTTTCTTTTAAAAGTCAGTCACTAAAATATAGGAGCCATTCAAAAAGAGAACTTTGACCTTACGTTGTGTGCTGTTTTAACTGAAAAAGAATGGAGGTTATATGAATTAAAGAATTGCTGCGAATACAAATAACAATTATTTCTAAGGCACATGTTCTTTACAGCATCTCAAATCTCAGAGCAACATTTTTAACTTTTTCGTCATTTATTAATATATTGTAGTCAACCGAATGTCATTTAAATTTGTACGTTAAAATGTGAAGCTCACTGTGTTCGTTAAGGAGAATCGAAAATTTATTTTCCTGTCAAGCTCAGCTTGTTGGAAATCGTTTTATGCTGCATATTTAAAATGTGCAAGCTCTCCTGTGCTCGGTGCTGATGGGGGAATCATGTGCACCAAGGGTGCGCAATGTAATTCATAATGGTAATAGGACTGAGTGGAGTCCAATTCGGTCTATAATAATACGAGTGTTTAACAAAATCGGACGACCGCGAAGCGGGAGTCCGATTTGTTAATCATGAGTATGATTACAGACAGAATTGGACGACGCGATGTCCTGTTACCAATTAATCAAAACTATGACAAAATTTGAGAAATGAACAAACCATCGATTGATCGCTGAACGATTAAACGTCGTTATGAATGCTGAAAAACACAGCAGTTTACTCAACAAAGTGCACCACAACAGCGCTCGCAAAATGACGCGTACTGTCTAATTACAAGCATGACGCGTACAGTGTCCAATCAATGCTCAAATCGGGCTGTTGATAGCCAATCACGTTCGAGAATTTTGTTATAGTTTTGATTAAATGGAGTAGCAATAACTGTTCCCCTTTACCTGTCAATGAAGCTTGACCAGTCTTCCCAATCAATGGACTGTCCAAAGTAAATTGATACTGACGAGGGATCTCTGGCTGTCAGGATAAGATTTGGTAACGCCCTATTGTGAAGTTTGTCCTTATAACAGCCAACCTCCTCGAGTTGATAAAAGCACTGGGGCGCCTTTGAAATGGAACAGTCTCGTCCTGAAACAACAATTTAAAACAACAACTTCAAAGATGACTGTTTTTCGGAAAAGATTGTGAAAGAAATCGTAGAGTAGTTGTTGGTTTTGGATTCAACTGTATGTATGTTCAAAGTGATTTTAGAGCTCGGCGCAAGTACAAGCTATAACTTTAGCCTATTATATTTTACACTGTTTATAAAACAGTCGAAAGAAAGCTGGTGACTTTCCCAGAACTTTTCTTTTGGAATTTCACGATCAGTGGTGAAAGCGCATAACGACAAAAGTCACGACCGCGGACTCCCGATGAGGAGATGTAAAACTATTCGAGTGCTTAGATAATTACGCTTGTAAATTTACCTGCTCCTGGTATAGGTATAATAGGGTTCGATGATACATCTGTTGACAAAAAGAGGAAAAAATAAACACTTCAAGTAAAAAAGACATGGTTTAAATTGATCTGGAGGATTTGTCAAATGACGAACAGAACGGTCGAAATTCTACAGTTTATGTGTCTTATTCCTTTCTTTATAAACCAATCTGATGCAAGTAAAAAATCAGAATTACTACACAAAAATTTCACATGAGCTGAAATTCAATAACGGGGGAAAAAATCATGCCAACGGAATGCAGTAGGAAACGTTTTCATTCACAACTGTAAAATCACTTTTTTAAATCAGGATTAATGTCGTGTTATTTCTCTTTTCGTAGCACTTTTAGAGATTTAAAAACTTCTGATTAATGCCTTTTACTCTTTCTTGTAATCAAGCTGAAGAATTTTTCAAGCTTTTCCTTATTTTTCTTTCAGTCTTACTCGCTACTGCAGTAGCTCGATCGGAATTTTTGATTTCTAGGACATCCGTAAAATTTGGTCATCTATACCAGTTAAAATAGTCAAGCTAGCAAAGGTTGACTTTGCGCCTCCAGACCCGAAGAATTTATCGGCCCACTGTAACCTTTTGCATTTTTTTTTGTTGTTGTTGACCTATCGCTTGTTAAAGAAGGTTTGTTTGTCAGAATATCAGCACTTAACCCTCGGCACATTCTCAATTAACATGATAACGATATGCGTGAAACTAGAAACATTCAATGTAGTGAAAACGGAAAAGATGGGAGAGATACGAATACATTTTTAAGATTTACCTTGTGTAACACCAAGAAGAAACAAAAGTACTCCAAACTTCATTGTCACGTTTGCTTCTAGAAGTAAAAAAAAAAGAAAAAAATAGTTACGTTTTATTATCCGCGTCTGAAACGCAAGAGCTATGACTAGGAAGTTTTTTCCAAAAAATAAATTGTTTAGAAGGTGGTGTAGAAAACGGTGAGCAAATATTATCCCAATTATATGACTTCATTATGACTGGCTTAGAGCAGGCCAATTTTTCTTGCTTTTTTCTTTTATTTTGAACTGCAGTGCAAATTAACGCCCGCGCATTCGTAAAGTTCTTATTCATGTAATAAACGAGTAATCGTATGAAAGCTCGAGAAATTAAGGGTTTACACTACTTGTCATGCTTGAAAATTAGTTAAATTTACATGAGAAATTTTAAATATCAACATAAATATCAAATATCAACAATAAGGCCTTATTTGCAGTCGCATTCATACGATTTACTTGTCCTTATTACAAGCGTCAATTTAGAATAACTTCAAGAATCAGGGAGTACTGAGCTTAAAGCTTTTGCCTCTAATAAGTTTTCAGTTTTACTGGGAGAATTGAAAGAATTTTCAAGCTTTGCATAAAAAATGAAGGAAAACTGAGAACATTTTTCGCAAAATAAACTATGGTGAAGGATGTCCTTGCAAAACGTCAAAAGGGTGCGTTTCTGCTGAGTACTTCCCTCGTGCAACTTGGTGTGTGAAAAATAAAATGCATAAAAACGAAAACAACAGATGGGCCACATTTGAGGCGTCAATTAAACGTCAGGAACTGCCAATACTCATTATTTGCAATCAAGAGCACCTGTTGTTGTTGTTACACCTGCGATTAAAATACTCAACATTATCGATTTCCTTATTCAGTGTTAGGAGTTTTGATTGAAGTCGCCGAAAAGAACACATTTGTTAATAATTGAGTAACGGTTAAGAAAAAAAAATAGCCTTAAAAAATTATGGAATCGATTCAACAATAACTTGAACCGTTGTAAATACAATAAGAATGTGAGATTAGGTTAGAGTTACTCTTTATTAGAAACTGGGCATTTGTTTAGCACCCAACCTACTAATTAACCGGACATGCACTGGGATACAAAGATAAAATGGAATAAATTGATCTCGTTTTTTTGCACAAATTTCTTTTCCTTCATTACACTTTTTATTACCACGATAATAATACATATGAAAAAATTACTCGATTCTGATTGGCTAAGAGCAGTGCAGTTCAAGTGTAACACTAGTGCAAAAAGTGTAACATCAGTGCAAAAAGTGTAACACCAGTGCAAATTACACATCGAAATTCTGGATTATGATTGACTGAAAAACAATAGGGACTTTCTAAGAAAATGATATCACGTAAAATGATGACGAAAATTTTGTGCTGAAACTTTGAAAAACGTTTTCTCAAATGAGAAAAAATGGCTTCAAGAAAGA